GGGGACGGATCATAGTGCTCGTTCAAGGTTGAAACAACTTCTTCGTAACTCAGCGAGCTTGGTTTTCGCGGTGCGATTCTGCCGCAAAGGATTTCAACGGTCCTCGATCCTAACGCAGCCACCAACAAGGCCCTTTTCTTCGCGTCGTCCGTAACTTCGTTCGCTTCGAAGTAGGCGTCAATCTTAACGAGATACGCTTGCCACTTATCTGTCTCCTCTGCAAAATCCGGAAGCTTGAGGGCCATGGCTGCGGGCGGGCTGATGGGCGTCTTCGTCTTGGTCTCGCCGCTGGCGCCCGGCTTACACGTATCGGTGGGTATTCTCGTCGCCACTGTTAGTTGGGAGGCGGCCACGCCGCTCCAGCAGTAAACGTGACAGTCGGACCATGCCAACAGAAAAGAACGGCCAGTTTTATTCACACTCGTGAATATATATAGGAAAGTAAGGGGGAGAGGGAAGGGGGATAAGATTGTGCACATGCGCACTTGAGAGCTTGGGTCGCGTCGTTCAATGGGTTACAGCAAGTGTGAACTGCAGGGGATATCAAGTGATCCTACAACTTGGATGATAGCCATGTGGAATCCAATATGCCAGGATACTTTTGAAGGCTGGTCCCTGGCAGATTGCTGGGAAAAGCATATCGTCCTGGTTGCGTGTCGGTAGACTGAGAGTGTGGTACGCCTGGAGGAGTGAGCTTCGCTGCTGGATACGCGTTGGGCATACAAACAGCAGCTGGGTGTTCTAAGGTCCCGACCTTGCCGCAGGTGGAACAGTCCAGCATAGCTGCAAGCTTGAGTCGGTGCCAGCGAGCTGCTGCCTTATGGCATTCTATGCGTAGCCGCAGGAGGAGGCCATATTGCTGCCTGGTGAGGCCTCGCTCTGGTAGTGGCAGAATTAGCTGCCCGTGGGCCACTTTTGCGTCGGGATGGCAGGCCCGGAGGTGTCGTCGCAGTATACAGGTGTATTGAAAAATCACCAGCCATGACGGCTGTGCTGAGGGGAGGGTCTGTGGGATGGCCCGGGCGCCCTACCAACTAACATTCCTTTCGGGGAGTGGTCTATCTTACCTTTCTCTCTCTCCCTCCTCGCCTTTGTAATTTTTTCTCTCTCTATGTCTTTGTTGACAGTGCAGAGAGAGGGAAAGAAATGTCGGTTCGCGACTTCATTTGCAACCCGCTGGCAGCGCGACCTGCTGCGCCGTAGCGCTACTCACCATACCCCTAGTGAGAGCACGAACCAAATGAAACACCAGAACGGCCACTGGCCACCTGTCCTGTCTTCCACTGCTTGTTTGTGGTAAAATTCGGTCTCGTAGGGAATTCCCGTGTCCGTTGCTCTCGTTGGTGTGGGATGTTCTGCAGGTTTCAGGCGGATAGGCGGAAGTAGTTGTCGTGAACCAGTTGGTTTCCATGTGCGCCGGTTTAACTCGGTCCAGTGACACAGCTCTTTGGCGACCGTGCCTTTCTATGATAATCGTCGCAGCTGGAGGCACGAAGCAAGGTCGCGTACAAGGGCAGACTACGGCACATGTGCAGGCATAGGTGGGCACGCGAAATATTTCACTACCCGAGCCAAAACTGCGTGCGCACGCACTTGGTCAGGTGCCTTCAGTACCCCAATCGCAAGTGGGGCTTCCTGGCCAACCCATCACATGCAGAGAATGCAAAGGAATGGAGCGATATGGTGAGTGTGCTGGTCAAGCAGCATGAGAGGGGCACCTGGCTAGCAGAGATGAGCAGAGAGCCAGCGCGCTCCAACTGTGTACGAGCGTGAAAACAGAAATACAGTTGCAAACGGCTGTATGAAATGGTGTTGGTAGCAGTCCGCTTTTCGACGCACGTGCCGGAGCCTTTCAAACCTGCAGTTGTGTGCAACCGGTATGGGGACGTGTGTGGCAAGGACTCAGTGCGGGTGGCAGTTGCAGTGACAAAGCGGCCTTTGACGGAGTGGTGGACTGAAGTGCGACGAGCGTAGAGGACGCTCTATATACCTTTTCAATCATGTGTGTTTTTTCTCCTCTATATTTTTTTCCCTGGGTATCCTCTGTTTTCTTCCACTATCTTTGGCCTGGAGTACAAAAGGTATGGCCACAGCGTCACCATTATCAGCGTAGAGCTCACCAATGGTAGCGGTTATTCTTTGCTTCCACCCAACAACTGCCTCGCAATTCCTAAGCAGCTACTCTAGGCTCGCTGCCATGACTGGTGACGGTGATGTTTATTGGGGCCCTTATTATACTACACTTAAGGTGTATTCAGATCACCACAATCAAGAGCCCGACGAATGAAAGAGCGGGTGCTTCTTATACGCTTTGCTACACGGAGGAAGGAAAGGTGCTTCCTCCGTGCTTTCCTAAAACTACACAGTGCTGCTACCTGCCAGCTGCTCTGCGTTCTAGAAAACGTTTGTTTCTTACTGTCACATGGCGTCCATATGTCACGCAGCGTAAAGTCTCCAGAAATAAACAGGGGCATAGCCAGGGTGTGGCACACTGAACGCGTGCCCCCCCCCCCCCCCATTCACCCTGAAGTTTTGTTTACCATGGCATAAAGAGCAGAAAATGACCCACCAAAAAGTTTCTGGGTACGGCCCTAGAAATGTAGCGCCATTCGAGTCGCCGTACAGACTCCCCCTCTTCCTGTGCTTGGGGTAGCCTTGGTAGTACAAGCACCATCTTGTCTGTTCTCGGTCACATGTTTTCTTATGCTTTCACGACGACATCGGCGATGAGGAGGCGCTGCACTGGCTTACTCCAAGGAGGTTTAAATAAGTCATGCTGGAGTGTAGGCAGCCTACACATACCAATGGTAAAGTGTTCTAGTTATTCTAGAACACTATACCAATGGGTGGCAGTGAAGCCGTGGCGGCCATCTTGCCATAGGCAAGATACGGGAGCCAAAGTGCGCCCGCTTCTTCTTTTCGCCGCGGTTTTTAACGATTATGGAGGGCATGAAGTGGTGAATTGTCAATAATAAAAAGTCAAAAGGCAAACGCGAATACAGTCGACCTTATTCTGTTTCTTTTGGCGTTCTTTTTGAAATCGTGCACACCGACGAAACTTTCTGAGCATTCCTTTTCTTGTTTATTTTATTCTTCATGTGACAGAATCTTATGCATCAGTAGATTTCTACCACATCGTGTGAAACATAAAAGTGTGTGTCCCAAGCTTTCCACATTCAAAAGGATATTCTGATAAAAAAAAATGTACGTATGAGGAAAAGTTGCAGTGAGCTCTCCCTGCCCCCCGCCGCCCCCCCACACACACTCAAAAATGGGCTTTTGATTTTTGATCCCTTTCATTTCAGCTTGAAGGTAAAGCCTAGCTCTTTTGGTTCACTACAATTTCTCTTGGAGCTGTTATGGCTCCCCTAAGTGTTAATTAAATGTTCAAAGAGGTTTAGATCGTAGAGCCAATTTTCTGGCAGTCCTATTTTCTCAATGGCCTTTTTAATTGCTAATTATTCTTTCTCAATTACCCAGCTCAGAGTTAATATGTTTTAGTCATATATTGCAATTTTGTTACAATATTACTTCTTTCATCTTTAACTAGATGACATTTATTCTAATAATTAAGAATTTTTTTCCAAACTACCTGATTTTTGGCCAATCACCCAGCGTGGGTGTGTGCTACTGTTTAAGGTAGTATTCTACTCTACTCTTGGCCAATCCTCCATGGTGGGAGTGAGAAAGAAGTTTAGGGTCTACATCCACATGTATATATTGTTACGACCTGGGTTTGTGGCAGAGGAGATCCGGGATCACGATGTCGAGGCAAGAGGAGGTTGAACTTCGTAGAGAAGGCTTATTTACATTATTTACATGGCACGGGCTCTCTGACCCGAAGCTCTACATTAAAAGCTCTACATTGAAAAAGGCTGTCTATTGAACAAGCTCCATGAACCACCCTCAGCAGCTCGCGAGGGCTGGTTAAATACCATCTCATCTCTCCAGATTCCTAGATCGGAGAACAGGTCCATACGGCAGTGTCCAATAACGTATCCCACAGCACACACGAGTGTCATTATGCCGGCACCGCCCCCAACATGCACAAATACACAAATCAAACACGCGTACGGTCCCGGCGATGCTGCCTCCCGCGAATCTTGCTTGAGCGGGGTGAAACGAGTCTGTCATTTCTCCCCTCGGGCCGACCACCCATGCTTTGCCGTACGGCAGTCGCGGTCTCGGCGCCTCTGAGGGGTCATGCCTGGACATCTGGTGCTGATTTGAGCGTCGGCGGCTTATCAGTCAGAGACGCACAGCGTGATGGTCCGACGTCCACAATCGGCGGAAGCTCGGCATCGTGGCTTTTACCGGGGCACGAAGATGCCACGAGTCACATCTCTGCGCGGACCCGAAGGACAGCAGTGCTCCGTGGAGTAGTTTCAGCCACGCAGCGCCCAGCACATGAAAACAGCAGGGCGTCTTGACATGGCTCCTTATTTCCACAAAATGAGGCGGCTGCCTTTCTTCCTTTCCGGCGGCCGCGGCAAAAGGGTGGCCCGCCAAACGCAACGATATCTACAGGAAGTGAGGGAGTCCTTTAACGAGCACCACCCAATTCATGGCCTATCCCCCTAATCAGTTGCACCAAGATTCTGAGGAACCAACCAACCAACCTAAAAATCATGGTCTATTCACCAAGGTGAAATAAGAAGACCACCGACGTGGACTGCAGTGCGATCATGGTCTGTGAATTCCTTGGAGACACGGGAAGATTTTCTTGTTAGGTCATCCTAATGGAAATCTAGTTTTTTTTTCAAATTCAGTTATTCATTTCTGTTACGGTTCTGTATCTGCTTTAACCGTATGTGACTTTAGAATTGGTTAATTCCATACTCCCTAGATATATGTTTTATCCATTTTCCTTAATGAAATGTGAAATTACTTTATCCTCAATACAATAACCGCCGGTTTAATGGCCAGTCCGCCGTAGTGGGTACAAGCCAAACATAGGCACCAGTAAGCAAGCAAGCAAGTGATCGCGGTGGCAAACGTACATGGCCGACGGCGAAGGAAGGAACGCCGAGACCGTATCAACTAGTACAACAAAGTCAGCAAGGAGACAAAGGGCTTTAGGACGCAACGCGCAGGCCCAGAGCGGTGGCTGGTCAGCGGCCATCTGGAGCCTTGCCATCACCACCACAGTGCTGCTGCTGGTGTCGGTCGTGATCACCACCCTCGTTTCGATGACGGCGCTCGGCAGCAGTACCCACTCGCAAGCTGGCACTCAAGCAGGGGCGTCAGCGGGACGTTCGAGCCACTACAACAAGAGTGGTGTCTTGAAAGCGGTGCCCGAGCGAGGCGCCGCCGGAGCCTGCGACTCATCGTCTTGCGCGGAGCAGGCGCGTCTGCTGCTCCGCCAAATAAATTCCAGCCGCGACCCCTGCGACGACTTCTACGCTTACGTGTGCGAAGACTGGGCGCTAACGCGACCGCTGCCTCCGGGAGCTGAACGGCTGTCTATGGACACTATCCTGGTGGACGGCTACGCCGAGCTTCTCGCTGCGGAACTGCGGGAGAACGCCACCGGGTATCCCGCGCTACGGTTCCTGCTGAGCAACTGCCTGCACCCTCAGCCCACCCTTTACCCGACGCTATGTGCCATGTTCTTGGACACAATCCGGCTCAAGCCGTGGATGGCCCGAGCGTCTGCGTTGAGACACAGGAGGCCAACGGCCCCTGAGGTGGCCCGCAAGCTGGCCGTCGCCTTCCGCGTGTTAGGAGTAGACGCGCTATTCAGGCCGTTCGTTTTCAAGAGCGGTCTTAGCGCCAAACGCTTCGTCGGGCTCGCGGAACCGTCCACAGTGCTCATGTCGGGCCCGCTGGAGAAGAAAGAGTATGAGATGGTGCGCAGGGCCCTTGCTCCTCTCTTGGCTTTCTTCCAGAACGTTACCGACACGGATCTGCTTCAGTTCGAGGAGCGGCTCGCTCTAATGCTGAGTCACCCTCAAGTAGACGCGGAAGCGCTCGCCAATGGTACCACGATCAAAGTTCGGGACCTGCCTGTATTGCCGAACTTCGAGTGGACGAGCTTTCTGCAGAGCGTGTTCGACAAAGGTCTGCGACCAATCACGGACAAGACTTTCGTCAAACTTAACTCACCTGACTACATCGTGCGCCTGACGCGCAGCGACTTACTACAGTTTACCAGCCAGCTGCTGGGATACCTCGTGTTCCGCGTCATGATGGTATTGGCACCCCTGCTCGACGACCACGACGTGCGTGACCAGTTAGCCTCAGTGAGCTACGCGCGGCACCAGGAGTTTCCTCAGGCACTACCTCAGGCCCACTACTGCCTACTCCTACTCGACCGATTTGAGCCGAACTTACCTCTGCACCTGTCGCGTCATTTTGCTGCGTCTCTTATTGGCGGGGAAAGTGTCGTGGCTGAAATGGTCTCCACGCTTCGCGCGGTTCTGCTGGAATCAGTGCAAGTGCGGCTGGGTCTCAAGAGTAGCGAGTTGTGGGAGCATCTGCGGGACAAATTGAACGCCGTCTCGTGGGAGCCACTTAGTCCACCTGCTCTGGCGACGACTACCGTGAGGGCTGCTTACGTTGACGACGTCTATCCGAGAAACTCGCAAATGCCGGCTGCTCAGCTCTTTTACAACTGGATTCGAAAGTCCCACGAGAAGAAGCTGATGTCGCACATGACCTACGCACGGGGAAGAGGCAAAGGCGACTCGGGGTACCCGGGATGGACAGGAGGCTTTCTGAGTGCCGAGAGTCGCCTGGCGCCACCTTATGATCGGCTGGAGATACCTCTGCCCGTGTTCGACTTGTTCCTGAACGCGGATCCGGCTCTCCGGCCCTTACAATTGGCGCGCGCGGCTCCCAAGTTGTACCGATCACTGCTGCGAGCCGTCTACCACTGGGCCTACAACTTCGAACACAATGTCGCAGATGACAAGGAGACAGGTGGCGAGAGTGTGACGCGCCGTTTAGATGAACTTCGCCTCTGCCTAGAGCAGCAGTACTCAGCGGTTGCTTGGTCTGATCGAAGGATGCAGCTAGACGCATCGCGCACTTCGTGGTCCGATCTCTGGGACTACCTGGCGCTGAGACCAGCGTTGGACGCGTTCACGCTCTTTGCTCGACGCGTGGCGCCCGACTACCGCCTGGCGCTGCTCGAGCACTGGGACGTCGGCCAGCTATTCTTTGTATACTACGCAGCCAATCACTGCGAGAACAGCAATGAACGCTTTTTGCGCAGAATGGTGGCCTTGGGTCCTCACAGCACTGCCTGGTTCCGCGTAAACGGGCCTTTGAGGAACGCTCGGGAGTTTACGCAGGCCTTCGGCTGCAAGCCCGGCTCGTTCATGAATCCAGTCGACCAGTGTGCGTTGAGTGAGTGAGCGCAGCCAGGGATGATTGGAATATAGTTCTTGTAGTCTTTAGTCACGGCCACCTTGATCGGATGCGGGCGGTGGTGTGCCGCGCGCGTCCAATCCAGGCGGCCGTACTTAAGTGCGCGCCAGACTAAAGCGCTCTGTTGCTTATTTATATTGGTTCCTATAGACTTCCACCAGAACGCAAATGTGGCAGGTCATTTCGCCCTCCTTCTTTTTCGGCTCTATCGGACGTAGGAGAGCATGTGCGCACGCACACAAACGAATGTTATGCGATAGTACATCAAGTACTTCTCTCGGTTGCATCGCTCCATCAACTGCCATATTTTGCACGATTTTCAGTAATACCAGTTTATGGCACTCTTGAATAGATATAACGCCAAACAGCTGTTGTTGAACTCCAACTATATTTTCATACGCTTTCATTGTGTTCATACTATGCCATGTGGATTCCAGTGGGCCCTAACATTATTGCTCTAAGAATGCAAATCCACAGTGTGGCTCAGTCAGCCGACGGCAGTACTTAATTTGCACAGCAGTTCTATAACGCAAAAAAAGAACGTATGAGCCAATTTATTTAGAGAGAGTTCGCAGCGTTATATACTGTATATATACTGTGACTACGCGGGATCGACGAGCACACAAAGCACCTCAAATAAATACGCTTTATCGATCGCAGGAATAAGACTGCAACGACTTCTTCGTATTTTGCCCTCGGCCAAGGACACTCGCACCGCTTCGTTGTCGCCACCACTGGCACATACGCGCGGCATTATTCCCCCTTTTAAAAAACATCGCCCCGATGTTAAACGTTCGAGAAGCAAGGCGAAACCAAAATTGCACAGTTAATCACTGAAAGTAAGGTTTCACCCGAAGCACGTGGGCACGTTTTGGTGAATGTCTGCGGTGCTTCGAACACTGCACGCCATTCGGAACAACCTCGAATTTGAGGTCACTGATGCATCGCAGAACCTTGTAGGGTCCGAAGTATCTTCGCAACAGCTTTTCGCAGAGCCCACGCTAACGAATACGTGTCCAGACCCATACTTTGCCGTCCACATTGCATATGACGGGTCTGTGCCGGAGTTTGTAATGTTTGCCATCGTCGTTTTGTTTGGTGATTCGCCACCTGGCAAGTTGTCTGGCTTCTTCTGCTAGCTGGGTAAACTCTTCGGCGTCCGTCTTATTGCCATCATTTTCACAAAGGAGCATTGTGTCTAACGTTGTCGTAACCTCGCGTCCGTAAAGGAGACTGAAGGGTGTCTTCAGAGTGGTCTCCTGACGAGCCGTGTTGTACGCGAACGTGACGCAGGGCAAAATGACGTCCCAGTTCTTGTGCTCTACTTCTACGTACATGCTTATCATGTCAACGAGGGTCTTGTTGAGGCGTTAGGTGAACCCGTTGGTCTGAGGATGATACGCCGTTGTCTTTCTGTGAGCTGTACCACTTCGTCGGAAAATGGTGTCCGAAAGCTCGGCCATGAACGCAGTACCTCTGTCGGTGATGACTATTGCGGGAGCATCGTGTCTTGAGACGATGGCTTTGATGAAAAATTGCGCCGCTTCAGCTATCGTTGCCCGTCGCAGAGCGCCTGTTTCTGCGTATCGGGTCAGGTAATCCGTGACGACGATTATCCACCTGTTTCCAGTGGCAGACTTTGGGAAGGGGCCCAAAAAATCCATGCCAATTTGTGCGAACGGTGTCGTCGGCACTCGGGCAGGCTGCAGCAGGATAGCTGGTTTGATGGATGGTGGCTTGTGACGTTGGCAATCTAGACATGCCTGCACGGACGTTTTGACAACTTCGGCAAGTCTTGGTCAGTAATAGTTCTACCTTATCCTCGCCTATGTTGTTGCGTAAACCAAGTGACCAGCGGTAGGTTCGTCGTGGCAGGCTTGCAGTATCTCACGGCGAAGCGAAGAAGGAACGACGAGCAAGTAGCTTCTGCCGCCGGGAAAAAAAGTTCATTTTATAAAGAACGTCATTTCACAAGCAGTACGACGGCAGCCCTCTCGCAAATAACTTCGGCACGCTATTTGTTCGCCTTTATAGGTAATTTATGAGTGGTAGCAGTTCAGCATCGTCACGCTGCTGTTGAGAAAAGGCGGCAGTGTCCATAATTCACAGAAAGACCGTGTCATCATCGTCGTTGTGCGGGGATGCCGTTTCAACAAAAGAACGAGAAAGACAGTCGGCATCGGTGTGTCGTTTTCCCGACTTGTAGGCAATAGTGAAGTCAAATTCTTGTAGCCGAAGACTCCATTATGCAAGACGGCCAGACGGATCTTTCAAGTTGATTAACTAACAGAGAGAGTGGTGATCGCTGATAACGGTGAATGGGCGGCCGTACAAATAAGGACGAAACTTCAGGACCGCCCATACCATTGTAAGACATTCTTTCTCCGTCGTAGTGTAGTTAGCTTACGCACGGGACAGCGTCCTGCTGGAGTAAGGCTATCACCTTTTCGTTGTTGTCCGTCGACTGTACGAGCACTGCTCCAAGACCCACATTACTAGCGTCTGTATGAAGTATTGTTGGCGCGTCTTCATCGAAGTGGGCTAGCACAGAGGGTGTTTGCATGCGCTGACGAAGCTCGTGAAACGCCTGCTGTTGGTCTTCGCTCCACCTGAAGAGGGCATCTTTCCGAGTAATTTGTGTCAATGGCCATGCGATGCACGAAAAATTAGCAATAAACCACCGGTAATAGGCACAGAGTCCCAAAAATTGTCACACTGATTTTTTGTCTGATGGCGTTAGGAAGTTCGCCACGGCGGCAATTTTATCCGGGTCGGGTCAAATCTCTTGGCTGCTAACGACGTGACCAAATAATTGAAGTTCGTGGAAGCCGAAGTGGCACTTTTCAGGTTTTGAGTAAGACCGGCCAAGTGTATTGCTTCAAAAACTGATTCGAGTCTTCGTAAGTGTTCCTCGAAAGTCATCGAAAAGACAATCGCGTCGTTGAGGTACACCAAGCAGGTTTGCCACTCAAATCCCGACAGAACTGTGTCCATGAGACGCTGAAATGTTGCTAGCGCCGAACACAAACCGAAAGGTTTGTGTTCGGCGCTAGCACCTGAAATTCATAAAGTCCATCGGGCGTAACAAAGGCGGTCTTCTCACGATCTCTCTCATCCACTTCAATTTGCCAGTAGCCGCTTTTCAAGTCCATGAACGAAAAGTAGCGTGCGTTTCGTAGTCTATTCAATGAATCATCAATACGCGGCAGATGGTAGACGTCCTAATTTGCGATCTGATTGAGCTTTCGGTAGTCGACGCAGAAACGCAAGCTGCTGTCCTCCTTCTTGACGAGTACTACAGGTGATGCCCAAGGACTGTTAGATGGCAGAATAACACCATCTTCTAGCATCGTTTTTACCTGTTTTTGAATTGCCTCACGCTCCTTTGGGGCGACACGATAAGGATTTTGCCGGATGGGTCTGGCGTCGGAATCCGTGATGATGCGGTGTTTCGTCAGTGCCATTTGACCAACTCTTGATGTGGATGAGAAGCAGCCGTAGAACTTGTTGCACAGCGTGATAAGGCGGTCTCGCTCAATGGGAGATAACGTTGGACCAACGTTGGCAGGTGTCGGTGTAGTGATAGTAGACGCTGCTGCTGATTGTTTCTGATTGCTGCTGATTGAGATTGTTTTCCGCTGTACTCAACATTTGAGCCATCTGGTTGAATAGAATCTGGGCCAAGGACTCGCAAAGCTTCTCAGCGACGCCCTCCATTGCTTTCTGCACTGCCTTCTCAATTGATTTCGCAATAGAGACAGAGAGAGCTTCTATTGTTGGCATATTATGAGCTGTAACACCGGCGTAGCCTTGTGTTCGTGCTTGTATTTCAAGTATTTCAATGCTTGTATTTCAATCAATAGTCTCTGGGGTGCCACAAGGCTCAATTATTGGACCCACTCATTTTTCCTTGTACGTTAACGATTTTCCCTCAATCCTACTATATTCAGAAGCTTTAATGTACGCAGACGATACGGCACTAATCTTTGTTGGTGACAGCTTAAGAGACATCGAAGATAAAATTAACGAAGAGTTACAGAGAGTACGAGTATGGTTTAAACGAAACCACCTAAATATCAACACAGAGAAAACTAAATACATGGTCTTTCACTCTAGAAAAAAAAAAAAAAAACTCGACTTTGCAGGTTTCAGCTTGGTTTTAGATACGGCACTACTACAGCCAGTAGTTTCGTTTAAGTACTTAGGGGTCATGTTTGACTCGGACATGAACTGGAAATCGCATATAGAAAAGACATGCTCCAAGCTAGCATATGGGTGTCACACGCTACTAAAAGCCCGTGAATGTTTTGGCGCATCGATTTTGTGCATCCTATATTTTGCATTCGTGCACAGTCACTTGAGCTACAGTATAGCATCGTGGGGCAGTACATATAAAACTCATTTGAAATGTATTAGCCGCCTGCAAAAGAGGGCAGTCCAGATTATCACATACTCAAACAGGACGGATACTGCAAAACCACTGTTTCAAATGATGCGTGTACTTCCACTGGACTCTGTTCACGTGTCTAGTGTTGCTGATATAGTGCATGGAATAATAAAACGTGATGACCCATTCCCATTAACCACCTTTACGTTACCCGCGCGCTGTACAAGAGCTGCAGCGAATCACTGTTTTAATTTACCGGTAGCCAGAAATGTCTACGGTCCAAGGCTTATAGAATTTCACGGTGCTCTCATATGGAATGCGATACCGACTGATGTGAAAGAGGCTAGAAATTTTACATTGGCCATGAAGCATGCACTTCATGCGGACTTTCTAAGTAATACGTCTGTATAGTCATTTAGTATTATTATTATTATTATTATTATTATTATTATTATTATTATGATTAGTATTATTCTAGTGCTATTACTATTCTGTGCTATAAGTAGCTATGTTCTGCGCTATGTTTCTTTGTATAGTTCAATCATGTGTTTTTTGCTTTTTTTCTATTTTTAAACATTGTATCCAGTTTGATGTCCTTTG